TAAAAATAAATAAGAATTACCTACTTGTAAATGGCCCTGCATGAACTTACCTTTTGTTTCACATGGATATATGTATGTAAACCAGCTGGTGAAGTTTTTAATTTGGTAATTCAAAAGTACAATTACCTACTTGTAAATGGCCCTGCATGAACTTTTCTTAAGTTTTACATGGATTTAACTTAGCTGGTGAAGTTTTAATTCAAAAGTACTTTTTTCATTAACATTTGGAAACTTTTCATATTTTAGACTAACTGAATAAGCAATTATATTTTGAATAACGCGCATGATCTTAAATATACTCTTTTATCAATATTATTTGCATTATATCCAGTACTCGAATGCTATTTTTGGTCGAAGCAATATGCGTAACGCACGGAAGGAAACGTTTTACATATATTTTTTATCAGCAAAAATAGCCATTTCTGTCTTCCCGTCCGTCTTTAAAAGCGCATAGATCTTATAGACTAGCAAAGCTCAAAAAACTAAATTTTGCATCCAGACTGACGTGATAGCACACTGTTACAAGTGTATTTTATAATATTCCCCCACAAAGTCGAAACTCTGTGGAATCCACAAGATACGTATCTAAAGATACGAGAATATCTACCAAATTGAAGAATCTGTATGCGATCGTATTATTATTGTAGCCAGAATTACGAAATCAATTTTTGGTGGCTATCCCCCACCCCATCCAGCAACTCGATGGAGAATGAGCTTAAAGGGTGTGTTGATGTGCGCGAAGTGATGTAGATGTGGATGACATAGATTAGTAGCAAAAAAAATGTATAATGTAAAATTCGATTAAAATCATAAGGTTACATACATACATACATACATACATATGTGTACACTAACTGACTGAATACAGCGTATAAAAGTAGTGACATTCCTTCTTGTTTTTAATAAAAAATTTTTTTCGAAAAAATGTATATTGTATTGTTTTGTATTATGGCTTTTTACGAATAGTACTCAAGCAAAAAAAACGTCACCCTAGAAATGCCGGTTGTACTTTGCAAGGCAAAGGACAAACAGAAATAGTCTATATTCCGACTTCAATTATCGAGAGTAGATCAAGAAAACGTTCGTTTTAAATATAAAGTTAAAATTAACTTGTTGTGTTGCCATTATTAGATCTTATTGATTTGTCATTTAAAAAGCTTTAACTTGAGCATGTTAATTTTAAAGTAGAAGTGTTCTACATAATGCACAAGATCTAATTGAGACCCAAGCTACAATAATCCAGATCTTTGAAATTTATTTAAAATGTACAAAAATTGTAATGTTACAGTTCCATCCGAAAACATTATACGTCTTAGCAACAGAAAGTGTGATTTTTTTATACCAAACTTGTTCAATTTATATGCAGTTTGTGTTGAATGCCTTAAAAATACTGTACTTTTTCGATTTATTTCCTTTCTATTTATATTTTTTTACTTGCTTTGCTAATAACGATCTTATGCCTGTACTTCGTAAATGATTAGGAAATCTCGCACGTTCTTACAGTGCTTACTATGTGTGTGCATGTGTTTAATATTAAATTGTGTTTGTGAAATATTATATATTTCTGAACCCTTAGCTAATAAGCCCTTGCATCGAGCATCCTGCCCTAGCCAATGTTTAAATTGCTTTGTTTAAGTGTCGTAACAAGTTTAGCCAAATTAAAAATGGTTTAAAATTCCGTTTTGGAATAGTTCATCAGTGAATAAGAAATATTATAGTTGTGTTAGCAGCACTGTTTACTTAAAAGGATTCCTCAACTCTTTCTTGAAAAAAATCAAGTGAGTGAAATCCATATGCAATGGTAATTAAAATCGAAATTGCAAGTCGACGACGGTGACGACGGTCAACTCCAGCGACCACGGCTGGAAAGCCGTTTAAAAGCTGATCTCTTTCTCAATACAAATTCTGGGGAGACGCCCAAACAAAGTATAGCGAGAAGGGATTAAAGACTTATCATATTTTTTTTTCACCAGGAATAAACATTAGATCACATTGTAACTTTAATAAAGATAGTTATTACAGTTTTCAGTTTTACAAAATAATTGCTGTTTAAAACATGTATTTTTGTACTCCTTCGGAAAATTAATTCAGCGTTGAACGATTTATACTAGTATTTTTAACTATTTATGTATACATTTATATGTATATGTAAATACATGTATTTAATATATGATCTTGAGTAACCGAAATTTTGGAAAAATGATTCAGTATCAGACGAATAATCATATAAGTAACACTAGTCAACAAGATCTACCATTGTATTTTCGCTACATGAATTTGTCTAATAGTTTTGTAACTTTACATTTCTTAACTAACTATATAATTTTCTGTGGCAAGGACTAGAAACTCGTAGTTTTTTTTACGGAAAAACAATAGAAAGGTGCTATTTTATAAAGTAACATAAACTTTTTTCCATACAAAAAAAAAATGCCATTAACAATTTTTAAATGGTTTGATTCGGAAAATGATCGCCGATGGAGCCTCGTATAAATTTATTTTATTGCTTCTATGGAAAACACGTCAAGCCATTGTGTCCGTCCGTATGCATATAATATGAGCTCAGTTTATCACCATAATTGTTTAATATTTTTGAGGAGTATTATAATCTTAGTCAGATATACATTAGTAACGAACATAACGAAATATATATGGACATTTTTTCGATCTGAATTAATGGCCGGCTATGGGTATTTAGTATTTAGCAACAATTAGACCATATGAACAGTACTGGCCGATCATTGTACCAATCATTCGAAAAACCTTTTCGGTACTTGAATAGTTGAAGGGTAGATTTTTAGGGGGAAGAAACGTTTCGAACTCCGTAATATATTCCGATCAGCATAAATAACCGAGTCGATATAGCTACACATCACCGTCTTGTTTGACATCTAGTTTTTAGAGTCTATAAGAGCTATAACTTCATATGTAGTGGCTACCCAGCCCCTCCGAGCTCTGTGCAGTGCGCTGCCCTCTAGACGAGTAGAGCGTTCTAAAAGGACGGGCTGGTGTGAGAAGTGATGTAGATGTAGATGACATATGTAGGGAAAACCTTAAAATACCGATACCCGGTACTCGAGGAGTAAATAGGGTATATTGTATTTGTGCGAATAACGGTTGTATGTAACGCACAGAAGGAAACGTTTCCGACCCCATAAGGTATATATATTCTTGATCAGCATCAATATCCGAGTCGATAGAGCCATGTCTGTCTGTGCGTCCGTCTTGTTGAGCGCCTGGATCTCAGAGACTATAAAAGCTAGAGCCACCAAACTTTGCACCCAGACTTCTATATGCTCACACTGTTAGAAGTGTATTTCAAAAATGAGCCACGCCCCCTTCCGCCCCCGCAAAAGGGCGAAAACCCCAAATTTTGAAGATACAAGAAAACTAAAAACGCCATTCCGTAGGGAATGACCATATCTATCAGATCACCACATTGGGTCCGATTGGATTAATATTAAGGCCACAATGAAGAAATTACTTTTCAGTGGCTAAACCCACCCCGTCCCGCAGCTTATTTTTGTTTTTTGCACATTCTTTCATTCACACTCTGCTTGGCGCAGACATGTCTCTGCCTCTGCCGCGTCTCTGCCCTGACTCTGCAGTGCATGGGTCTAGAGGAGGGTGGCGAGCTAAAGGAGCGTGTTGGCGTGAGTAGTGTTGTTGATGTAGATGACAGATGAAGAAAAAATTTAAAAATTGACAAATTTGACTGAGTGCCAGGTATAAAAGTTGTGACGCGTAAGCGTCTCACGGGACGTGTTCTCGTTTTTTTATACCCGGAACTCGAATATTATAGGCCTATATAAGTATTTTGGTCGAAGTGGATGTGTGTAACGCACGTAAGGAAACAATTCCGACCCTATAAGATACATGTATATATTCTTTATCATCATTAATAGCCGAGTCGATATAGGCTCGATATAGACGTTTGTCTGTCCTTCTGCCAATCGTGTTCAGCGCCAAGATTTCACAGCCTAGAAAATATAGAGCAATCAAATTTTGCATCCAGACCTCTGTGATGTCATACGCACGACCCCTTCTGCCCCCAAAAAAGAAACAAAATGTGAGGCATTCACAATTTTGAAGATACGAGAAATCCCATTATCATAGAGAATGACCATGCCCACCAGATTAACAAATCTGGATCAGATCGAATCATCATTATTACATGTATTTTAAACAACAAAATTGTTTTCTCTGAACAGCCACCTGCAAATTAAGCTTTAATATTTTGTATATACAAATGATTGATTTCCATGCTTACTACAAATTGGCAAAAAATATACATATATAATTAATATACAAATATAAATTGGGTAAAGCATTTTCACCTTTGGTATTCTGAGAGAGTGATGGGAAGTGGAAATTATATAAATCACTTTAATGTCACTTTTTCAAAAGGTAATAGAATAGCTTAACTGACTATACATTCAAAAAAATAGCATATATACATTGTGGAAAAAAACTGAATGTCAAAACTAATACACAAAATCGTTTAAGCCAATGAAATCATCAATCGAAGTTTCCCCATTTTTTTTAAATTTCTCTAGACTTAAACATATTTTCATTTAATTTACTCAAGTCCTGCGAAAACTGGCTATTTAATCGCTATCAGACCAAGCACAAGATGCGTTACACGAAACGATCAATTATAGATGGTTTGAATTTGGCAACGCAGAGTGTGCGATTTTGTTTAAATAGCGGACACAAATTGATTAAATTTTTAGTTCCAAAGTATAATGATGTTTGGCTAAGCAGCAGTCCAGGGCTGGCATATCATTGGTTCTGCCCAAAGCTCCTCATCTTTACATCCCATTTTAACGACTTTCTCCATCCGACTAATGCTGTGAGAGACGCTTACTTATAAATCTATCAAATTCGCAAGTAAAACTACTAAACCGAATTTAAACTTTTATTGCAAAATCGTGTCGGGAAGTGTATCGTTTCATTGGATGGCATCAAAACCTACAAGCCACATAATTTGCATTAAAACAAACTCGTTTAAAACTCTTTTTATCGCTTACACTTTTGCAAAGTCGGTTCCTCCGACTGTTTTGTAACTCTCGCGTAATAATCACCCCACTCGTCTTGCAGACAAACTGTTTTACTTTAAAAACCTCTAAAAAAAACAAATTAAAAGAAACAAGTAGGAACGTTGTGAGTCGGCTTGGAGCGCGTCCTAAGTTTTATACCCGGTACTCAGTCAGTATATATGTTTGTATGTACATATGAACTTATGCTTTACTTATGCAATACTCACTTTTCGCTCCGCTAGATCCACTGCACAAATCAGAGTGAGCGAGAGACTGAGAATGAGAGGGAGTATGGGACAGACACTGCAAATGAATTTCTTCATTCTGGCTATAATCATGATTCAATCTAATCTGCTGGCTCTAATTACACTACCCAACACAATTTTCCCCCATGTAACCAAACTTTTTCTGAAGTTTATGACGCTTATAAATTGTCTGATTTTTTTCTTTCTATGGCAGAACTTTTTCTTAGCTTTTTTTTAGAGGTAGCTCTTCTTTTTTTGTAGATAACTTAAGTATCCTAAATCTGGTTGTAATTAACTTAGCCATTATATGAAGCTGATGAGTGCATCTATAGGCAAACACTTCGTGATTTTAGCTTACCGTCTGGAAAATATTATGATTTCAAACGCAAAAATTATCATTTTTGTGAGGTTTTTTTTTTTAACGAAATTTTGACTTTAAAAACTCAGGAAATGTCGAAAAATATGATATCCTAAAATATATAAAATTTCTTCGTTGAGGGTATTGAAGACATCATCCAAATCTATTGAGAGTCGGTATTTCAAAGCCTAATATTTCCCAGACGTTAAATTAAAACCACTACGTGTTTAGGTCAAATTTGTACCTGCACCAAATAGATTTTCAGAATGGCAGTGTTCTTTACAACCAAAACTAAGATACTTAAGTTATCTACAAAAAATCTACCTCTTTGTTTATCTATCCGTAAAAAAAAACAGTCTTTAAAATTTAAAAAAAAGTGCTGGCATAGAAAAAAAACTACACCTCATTGAAAAATTGTAAGACCCCAAAACTATCAGAAATAGTCAATTTGGTTCCTTGAGAAAAATAAATCGAAGAGTAGATAGAGATATTGTATTTGTGGAAGCCGCCAGAGCCGCCATATCTCTGCTGCAGAAAGAGGAGAACGAACTAAGAGGGCGTGTTGATTTTAGAAGTGATGTAAATTAGAGATTAAGCTAAATATGTTGAAACCAAAACTCGAAATAAGGTCACATACATACATATGCATATACAGAAAGAGTACCGGGTATAAACGTAAAGGCGCGACTTTAGGAGCGCCCCGCAACTTTACTTCTCATTGGTCTTAAGGTATCAACAAATATTCAAGGTTGAAAAAAATGTTTCCAATAAAAATAAGCCCCTAATCTATAGTATGTTTGCTTCGAAACCGAAGCTGTAATTTTTAATATTTTTCTTAGTAATCCGTCCAACAATAGGTTTCTTACCTGTATTAAAATTCTAGACAATTCCCTATTATTTAAGTTAAAAATCTAGCCAAGTAATTGTATTTAACAATAAATTGGGATATAAATATCTAGCACTCGAAGAGTAAAAGAAGTATATTAGATTTGTGGTCGAAAAATGTAACACACAGAAGGAAACGTTTCCGACTCTTTAAAGTAAATATATTCTTGATCAGTATCAGTAGCCGAGTCGATACAGCTTTGACTGTTTGTCTGTCCGTCCTGGTGGGCGCCTAGTTCTCAGAGACTATAAGAACTAGACCCCCCCCCCCCTCCAGCAATGTTGCTGGCGGCTCAATTCCTGCACTCTCTGCCTCGTAGAGAGGAGAGCGAGCTAAAACATTTAAAAAATGTATATCTTAAAATGTAGATATATAAGATATATAGATATATAAGATCAGATAAGATACATGCATGGACCATGTATGCAGTACATATCATCTTGACCAGCATCAGTTTCCGAAATGATGTAGCCAAGTTTGTGTACTTCTGTTGCTGAGCGCATAGTTCATGGTAAAGGGTTTGTATGGCAAACAAATGCTTTATGGGTTCAGAAGTTTTATTGTTGGTCAATCGAATTTCACCCTTTTCCTTTAAGGTTTTGTCCTTTAAGGATTGTATAATAGGTATCAGGTCCTTTGGAAGCAGACCTGCAATAAAATGTTTAACTCATCCTTTTTCTTCAGTTCGTTTTACGGACAAAGGTACACTTATGTAAACGTAATAGATAAAAAGAAATTATGAATATTGGGAATATATTTGATAAATTTGACAAAATACGTTGAGTGAAGGTAAAACTAACTGAATGGTAAAATATGTTTTCATTTATAATTTTAAGAATTCTCATCTGATTTTTAAGGGATGACCCATGAAATTAAACTATAAACTATCATATCATAGGTTCATGAGGTTCTCGCTTCTGCTTCTATCTACAGGTCTTTTAATTAAGCACTATATGTAAAAAAAGATACTCATTTATGTGTATTGACATAATAGATACTGTTTATGGAGTTTTGTGTTTGCATGATTTGCATGATTTAAATTATATAAATAATTAGGTGTTCCTCATTGTAAGTAGAGTATTAATTACTTGTGTTTTTGTGTTGTTAACAGTACAATTGAGAAATTTAAAACAATATAAAAATGTACGAATTAGAAACCAACAAACAATCATAACAGAAAATGCATGATTTATATGTATCTAACTGAAAACAAAAGGGTGATACGATTTTAACAGCGACCTTTAAGAGTGTACATCTATGAAAACACACAAATCTCGTTTTTCACACTTTCCTGACTTCAGTGAAGACCCTATTTAGTGCAACTTGCAAAAAGAGAAGACAAGTGTACTACCTTATTTTTGTTCATTTTCTTTAATTTGCTTTATCATATTTTATGTTTATGCCATAAGATGATTTTTTCTGAACCCTGGTACAAAATACAGGCTTGAATGGCGCAATTATTTTAGCGATTATGTTCAGAAAGAGTCTTCTTCTGAAAAACTTCAAGCTTACCTTTACGCGTTTTAAGAGACCTCTTGACTAAAAATAATATTATATACGTAATGAATGCTTCCCGCAAGCTAACAATTTATATACAATTTGAAACATTTATTCGTAGGTTTTTTATGGCATAGAAAAACAAAAAACTTAGATGCGCTAAATTTTCCGTCGGAAGAAAGTTGTTACACTGTTTTGTGTTGGTTTACAAATAGAAATCTGTTAAAAATTGAATAAATGAGTAATGAAATGGATGTGGGGGACAGAAATGCATGCAGAATGCCGCTCCAGCAAAACAGAAATGCAATAAACATGTTTTAATACTCGGTACGATGAGTAAATAGGGTATATTGTATTTGTTGGGAACAAAGTTAACACACAGAAGCAAGCGTTTCCGACCCAATAAATTAAATCTTGAACAACATCAATAGCCGAGTCGACATAGACATGTCTGCCCGTCCCTATGAGCTCCTAGTACTCAGAGACCATACGAGATAGGGCAACCAAGTTTTGCATCCAGACTTTTATAAGCACAATGATATAATCTGATCCCAATTCGAGGATCTGATAGATATGTTCCTTCCCTACGGAATGGCGTTTCTAGTTTTCTTTTATCTTTAACATTGTGGATGCAGCAGATTTTCGCCTTTTCGCAGGCGGAAAAAGGCGGCTCGAAATTTTGAAATACACTGGTAACAGTGTGAGCATACAGAAGTCTGGATGCAAAATTTGGTGGCTCTAGCTTTTATAGTCTCTGAGATCAAGGCGCTCAACAAAACAGACACACATGGCTCTATCGACTCGACTATTTATGCTGATAAAGAATATATATACTTTATGGGGTCGGAAACGTTTCCTTCTGTTCGTTACATATGTACATCCGTTTTTCCCCACAATTACAATATACCATATTTTCTCTTCGAGTCCGGGTAAACCAATAGGGTACATATATAACGGGAACAAAAGCTATGACCCGTAAGTCTAAATTTTTGCTATTTTTGCCGTCCTCCGCTTGATTCCTTTCATATTGAGAATTTAGGTGTGTGTGTGTCTATATATATTTTTATCGACAAAGATAGAAATATTATATTTCCCGTTCGAGCTGTGAGATGGTTGTTCGATTGTTTTTCTGATATGTTTTCTTCAGATCTGAGTTCTGATATAAGTTTTCTGCTAAATTTGCTAAATTTAGCCAAAAATCTGCTAAAAAAATATATATTTTCCTTTCCCTAGGAATTTCCCCAATTCGGTCGATAAAATTAAAGGCATAAAGTTTACTATCTATAACTTTCAATTCTCTATTTCTCCATCGTGTCAGATTCGAGAATTGTGTTTGTCAACCCACAAGAACATCTGATAGATAGTTTTTGCTAGGGTCTTTTTACAGAAAATTTGCAAAAACCGAACATAGTTGGAGTTGGAGTTTCCTTGAAAAAAGGACATCAACATAAATGCCGTTCTTATCACAAATCTAACTAATATGTAGGCACGCTTTTGTATAGATCAACGAATAATGACTGCAGTTTGTTGTTGTGTCAGGTTTTTAACATAATTGATCTATACTAGCAGTGAAATCTTTTCTAATATTTTTTTGATGGCCTGTTAAGTCTCCACTTATTATTCTGGATAGATTCTGGATCAGAATAGGTAAGGCACTACTAAAGCTACCACTACTACCACTACTACCACTACTAAAGCATGTTCTCATTGCTCTTGACATTTATTTGGCGTTTTAATTTACAGACTACTGAGGCATAGGACTAATCTCAGAATGGAATGGCCAGTATATCACCTCCTAGTAGTTCGTTCCATTCAGGGTGCAATGTATTTGTAATGAATAAGGAAATCAAGTTTATCGTTGAAATAATTGAAATCGTCACGCTTATGCACTTCAACGAGTCAGGGCGATCTTCATCACCCTTGATCAAATTGTGCATAAAAACCACACTAAGCACACCAAAGTAGCGTTAAGTGGCTGGGACACAGAGCCTTACACATGTCGCATAAGTAGGTATACAGAAATGGATTACCGAAGGCAGAAAATAAATAATGAAATGTAGTTGTCCTATGCCCTGTGCCTGAGAAGGAGTCTTTGAAGAGACTCTATGAGACCCAGAATAAAGGTAGTTAGAAAGTAATCTCAAAAGATTGGGCGGATCCGAGACATCAGACTGTTCAATTCAAAGCGTTTTTGTCTGGCAGTATACTTTTTTTTGTATTCTGTTGCATTTAATATT